TTCAATTCCGTTACGAAAGTTACCCATTTCACCGTGTCGTAAAACTCGTTTCCCTGATTGTTTTTCGCTTTCCAACAATTCAGCGTACTGTTGTTCAATCAATAAACAGTTTCTTTTTAATATTTACTACTAATATGTGCTCAAATTTGAGAAAAAAGCATTCGCAACATTTTCCCATTAAAAATCGGGTTAGACTGATTGCAAATGAAATGCCAGGGAACAGTGGAAATGGGGTGTAGGGAGCACAAACAGCATCGATCGACTGAGATAAGTCGAGGCAACTTCTAATGTGTGTATGTGTGTGTGTGGAGAGAGAGAGAGAGTTTGGGGAATGTTAGAACAGTCACAGAGAATATGATGAGAACAGCACAACTTGGCGAACAAGTTCGTTTCAACTGAACACTAAAATTGTTCGACATAATATGTAGCCTTGAGAAAGTAGAAGGTGAACAGTATTTGCTTATGTTATTGCTCAAGTCTGTCCCTATAAATGCCTACCGCTAAAAAAATGAGATTAGAGTGTGCATGGAAGGTGGTGTGGGGTAAGATGAGGCAGGACAGAGAGAGAGAGAGAGAGAGAGAGAGAGAGAGAGAGAGAGAGAGAGAGAGAGAGAAGAAAAAGGATTTGTCTTGCACTCTATGAGAAAAGTCTAAAACAATAAAAAAAACACCTGCAATCAGCTCAGATGCTAATTACACGGTTGAAGAGTACACAAAATATAGATTTTGAATAGGAATGCGAGATTGAAGGGGAGAGGCTATGGAGAACAAAACGTGTTTACCTCCTGTTTGGACTAAGGACACACTGGTCGTTGTGCATTGATTGGTGCACATATTTTGAATAAAAACCGTTTTGTTGATGTAAAAAGGTTAGTTTATAACTCGGATGAGATCAGTACCCTGCACAATTCAACTGGTTCTCAGAGAGAGAGAGAGAAATGGGCGATGGTAGTATTGATTGAGATGATTTGAACGGACGACGTGAGAGGTAATGTGATGCTGACTAACACCACAGTCGTATTCCTAGCTGGAAAGGTAAAAGAGAAGGGAGAAATTTAGGCATAAAAGCGTGCAGACTGTTTCGGACAAAAAGGTGATCTTCGAGAGAAAGAAAAATTTGTGATTTGAAAGAACGGAAAGCCTAGTCTTATCAACACTATTACTGTGTTCTAAGAAGCAGCTATTTACAGATGCACGCATTTCGATGAAGAAATGAAAGAATGTGGAAGAATGTTAGAGAAACATCCGATGCTATGCTGACCTCATCTATGATTGTCTACCAATTCAAGTGCACCTGTGGTGCGACTTACGTAGGTCGAACGACAAGGCAGTTATCTCAACGGATCAAAGAACACAATCCACGCTGGCTCACACAGGGTAGGAAAGGAACTGTGTCCAGCTCGATCGTTGCTCATCTGGTAGAAACAGGTCACTTGGTTGACATGCGCTCATCATTTACAATCATCCATCGAGTCTCACCACACCCCTCAAGAGCAATACGGTTTCGTACGTTAGCGACTGCAAAGGCGATTAGCATCTGACTCATGAAGCCTGAGCTGTGCGCACAACGCAAACTGATTCTCAAACTTCCCTGGCCAAGGGAAGAGTAAATTGCTTGTTCATACGACCATGACGTAATCACTTTGGTTATGTGATCGAAACTGCGCACAAATTTTGAGTTCTCCTGGGCTCATTGCCAAACATGTGAGTCATTTGCCTTTTTCTTTGACATTATCGAACTTGTTTCATATACATGTGATTTTAAAGGCTTGAAAAGGAATTCACTGAAAACATATGTTCGCCTACATTGTGTTCTCAAGCTATAATATCATCATGAAAGCGCAGTTTGGGACAGTTAGATATGATTATCAAGAGCGGA